TTGTAACAGGTTTGGAACGGGTTCTGTTGGCACACCCCGACCCCTGTGGAGCTTTGGCCGGAGCGCTTGGAGAGGTGTGCGAGTCATACTTACATGAGGAGCATTTTTAGTTTGTGTTTCTCTGGCGTAAGTTTTTATCTTTATGATTGTTTGTAGAATTGGTTTTCCTGGAGAAAGAAAAGCATTTTTAAAAGGCACCAAAATTAATCAACAGTGTAGGAAAAAGATGGCACACCCCGACCCCTGTGGAGCTTTGGCCGGAGCGCTTGGAGAGGTGTGCGAGTCATACTTACATGAGGAGCATTTTTAGTTTGTGTTTCTCTGGCGTAAGTTTTTATCTTTATGATTGTTTGTAGAATTGGTTTTCCTGGAGAAAGAAAAGCATTTTTAAAAGGCACCAAAATTAATCAACAGTGTAGGAAAAAGACGTCTCTGTACAAAATCAGTTAAAGAGCATATTTTCTTATTTCTCCAGTGACTTCGAGACTTTGTATCCTGCCCAGAGCAATCCACCTCCACCTGCCACTTTGCTTCACCGTTTTACTGCTTCCTTTCTACAAACGAAGGAGCTTTTTTATTGCTTATGACATTTGTAAAAAATGCATCAATCAGCTACCCCAGGTGCTCACAGAGACCACGTGGCCCCTCTACACAAATCCTTGTTTCTAACTCCTTCAGCAATGTTCATTTTTATAGAACCACAGACTGGTTTGGGTGGGAAGGGACCTTTCAAAGTCACCTCATCCAACCCCCAAACAGGGAGCAGGTACATCCCCAACCAGAGCAGGTCGCTCAGAGCCCCGTTACCATTAGTGGTGTCACACCCAACATCCATCCTCTCCCCTAAACCCCCAAGACCGAGCTCAGAGATGCATCTTCCCTTCCAGCGGCACTTACATTGGCCCAGCTGGTTCATCGTCTGCAGCCACGATTGCGATGCCATCCGGGGAGAGGCGAGGAAAGGAGAGAAAAAGAGACGTGTCAGTGCCTGCCCTGTGCGCCGGCCGAGCCGCACGCAGCACCCCGAGCTATCTACAGCGTTAAAGGCCATTCCACCGGGTAGTGCAAAGAGTCATGGAGTTACTGTTCTGGATTCAAGTTTTAATGGCAGGTATGTTGCTTCAATGGTTTTAGTTAACACTTTGAATGCTTGTCATGAAGAACTGCAACTGTAGCGGACAGATTGTTGCAATATGGTCAGACTCATCTTGTCCCCAAGTTCCAGTGGTTCAATCTCATAAAAAATTGATGAGAAGACAAACCAACGTTTCAGTTGTAAAATCCTGCTGGTTGTTTTCTTGTATTGCATTTTTTAATTTTTTTTTTTTTTTTTAAGCCATTCTTCACATCTGATGGGCAATTCCTTCGTATAGACACCACAGGGTAAATACATCACGTGCTCCTCTGCCCCTGTGGATGACACCCCCTCTACACACTTCATTTTTCTCAACATCTGATTAGATAACAGGCCAGGTTAGGAGGAGGTGGAAGGTACAAAAGTCAATCCTGAAAGTTAACATTCTTTAGAAATATTTGGGGGAGGGCACAGAGCAATTCGGGACCCGCTGGGCTCAATGCTCAGCAGTTGCCATTGCCACTTCGTGCTCAAGGGTTTTTTTTTCACTGAAGTCTTTGAGAAACTCTCAGCAGGATTCCACAAGGGTGCTTAGTGCACATGAAGCAGTTATGGAAATTACAGTCTTAACGGTGTGGGCATCCGCATGAGCACACGCTGGGAGTAATGTCAGTTGAGGGGGACATTACTCCTCCTGTACCTTCACGGCAACGGATAGGCAAAGCCACCGCTAGCACAGACAGTGACCGGAACAAAAGAAATATTGGAAAGAAAGAAAATAAAATAAAAAAAGAAAGAACTAACCACAAACCAAGAGCTTTACAGCCAAAATAACACACTAGCGACACACCAGTGTCCACAGAAGTCCATTACCAGCAACAGTCACTATTGGACAAGGTACAGAGAGAACTAGGACTAGTCAGGACAACCAGACATCAATGTGCTGTTGTATATACAGTGGAGATATACAGAGACACATCAGGTACTGGAACACAAAGCACGGCAGAGTCAATCTAGAACTTCCTTCCACAAGCATCTTTTTGGTTGACAAAAGATCGTCAAGCAGCCACACCAGGATGGGCGGCGAGCCCCTGGCGCTGTCCCCCTACTCCAGGGCAGGGCAGCCGCCGGTGCCAGGCTGCTGCCAGGCTCCTCCCTCGGGTGTCCCAGCTTTCTAACAAGCGTCATCGACAACTTTGAGAGTTTGTTTGGTTGGACTTCAGACATAGCAAACTGCACTGTTAACATACAGGCTCTCGCCCCCTACAGAATAGCCATTATTTTTTTCCTTCTCTGTTAAAAATATTGAGATGCCTATTTCAGAAAGGCTGTTCTGTGTGTTTAAAAACAATAAAAACCTTCACATTTATAAAGGCTTCACATTTATAAAGGCTGCCATCGGGTGTTCTCCTAACAAAGATCCAACAAAAATGCCCACTGGAATACTTGAGATTATCGAGCAGACCAGCACTGCTCATCCCTTTCCCATCTCTGACCTCAACGGTGGCAAAATAAGACCGAGGAAAATGTCCCTGTGCTACGTCACTATCCTGGCCAGCCAGTTAAGTGCTGGAAAAGCATCCCCAGTACAGTACAGACAAAGACCGAAACCTCAGCAAAACCAGGGAGGGGCAACAGACCAACAGAAAAAAATAAGTACGAAATTAGACTAAATAAAGATTAAAAACAGCAAACTGAAATCCAAATTAGTCGTGAACGTGAATGAAGAAGTTTTAAGGAAAAGTGTTAACATTATGACTTGTGCGTTGTATAGACTGAAGCTGAGATTAAACAAACTCCAAAGCATGCAGAGCTCTCACTTACCACCATTTTTTTTAAGGGTATGATGCAATTGAAGGGGGGGAAAAAACAAAAACAAAACAAAAAAAAAAAAAAAAAAAGAAGTCATAGTAACCGACAAATATCAATACAACTCCAAGACCTGCTCTAGTAGCCGGTTGTCTCTAAGGCTGTAAAACCTACGGGCGCAGAGAACGTCCTTCCCCACTCGCTGATGGGCTCCACTCCGCACCCGCGGGGCTCCCGAAGCGCTGCCAGGCGAGCTGGAATGTTAGAACCACACTAACCCCCTCCTTTGGCAGGGCTTCCCTTTGCAATTCGGAGAGGATCTGCAGGCTCCAAAAACCCCACTGTTGATATAATACAAGATTTAAAAAACAGCAAACCGCACCCAACCAGCCAGGTAACATGGGGAATCAACCCCTCCGGGCAAACAGAGTGGGGCCTTCCAACTGGAAGGTGATGACAAAGATCTGCTGTAGCTCCTCCACTTGTACCGACTGCCTGGGAACGTCACTTGGGCTTGGCAGGCTGAAAAGGGAGCTGGGCTTTATGCTCCCCCCACTTTCAGCCTTCATTTATCAACATTTTAGATGTTGCTCAGTTTCTGTTACCTCCTTTGGAAAGCCACTGGATTAATTTTCAATATCCAATTAATCTCGGGTAGCCTCTCGTGACTGGTGGAAGTTAAAAATGAAACACTGACTGGTACTTCCAGTGCCAGGATTTGAACTTTTGCATCTGCAGGCACTCTGCATTTCTGCTTGTGGTTTAAAACTCACAGAGAAATCCAGGCAGAGAGGAGTCGAGACCAGTGGCAACAGCATGGGGCAACCCTTGGCCCTGCCTCCACAGATCACCAGGGCATTAGTAAAACGAAAACTTGTTTCTGTCCCAGTGCCCAAAAGGCAGAGCCAGGGGCTGTGGCAGCTCCAGGCTCACAGGGACAGGACTGTTACAACCTGTGTCAACCATCTGGCTGCACGCAAAGATTCCAAGGTGGATTTCAACACTAACACTTTGGCTTCCTGAACAGGAATAATTTGGAGGGAGGGAGAAGAAGAGGGGAGTGGAGAAGCTTTTCTTGCTCCATAAAGGAAATCACTAAAAATCAAGTGGCTGCTCTGAAATGAAATGAAGGCACCTCTGTACCTGGCTGAGATTAGTGACACCAGATTGGAAGAATTCTGGTCCTACAGTCTAAAAAAGGGAAAAAAAAATCACCCTACAAAGGCCCACAGGAGCGAGGCTGTTTGATTACCACTGTGGTACTGCAATGCTGGTCAGTGCGGTATCCCAATATCTCTGCCTGGCTGTTTTCTCCCCGATGAATTTTAAGCTTGGGAGAGAAAGGTGTGGGTAGCAGGGGGGGAAAAAAATAGACCCCAAATTTAACTTGTCACAAGGTAAACTGTTTCATTGAAAACATTTTGTTCTTTAATTACTTACAGTAATAGCAGGAACAGGGAAAGTCAAGAAAAAAAAAAAAAAAAAGTATTAGAAAAAATGAGGGGATATGGATGGAGCTTCTGCAGAGCCGGAGCAGAAAAACAGTTATGGGAGGTCTTGTATTAAGCTGAGAAATGAGAAGGGAAGAATGAAAAAGGACATGTCATAACCCAGTCACCCCACAGCTTTGAGCTAAAGATCATGTAGAATATAGATTTTGAAGTAAAAACTGTTTACATTCCTACTGGGGAATGTAGCCAAGAAGTTTTTACTTTCTACTTACCCCAGAACACACCCTTTATAACAGCATCTTTGCTAATTTTAGGCTATTTAACAGAAAAAACACTTTCTTTAGCAATCTTGGACGTACTACACTCAGGTCACAGCAGCCGATTGCTATGTCTAGCAAAAACCAAGCAGCTTAAGCTACCCCAGAGAGGCCCAAGGTGCTACTCTCATTGTCCAGGGAAGTCCAAGCAACTTGCATTCCGAGCAAAACGCGTCAGCAGTCGCCTGCCAGAACCGCTTCCCACCGTGCATGCAGTGACGTGCCAGCGTCTCTGCCCTCCACATGCCACATTCATGCAGCTTTCGTCCCCAAAAGCCACCGGCAGCTGCCCGTTCTGCACCCGCTCAGGGTTTCACACAACCTTGCTACTCTCTGGAGAGGGGACGTGACCTGTCTGTTGCTCTACCCTGTGGAGAGCACGTCAGAGCTCTCACTTTGAAAGGATGCAGTAACTCAAGCGCAACCGGCTCTCCCTTCCTCCTTCCAGCACATAATTTGTATGCGAGGGGGCTCAGACTTGATGCTGCCACCTCCCCTCCCAGGAGGGATGGGAATGCCCCTAGCGCACAGGCACGACAGCAAGAACCCGCCCTGGGCATCTGCTGATGCCACCCTTGCACCATTTCTGCTGGAAATACAGTTTTCACGGGTGCAAAGTTCCTTTTTCTGCTACACAGCAGCAGAAGAGGGGGGAAAAAAACACCCAAACCAAGATAAACTCACAGATCTGAATTATGTGAAGGAGGAAATGCCAATAAAGGAGCTACTCAGCAGCCCTGTTCCATGGCAGAAAAAGCAAATCAAGTGAAGGCAAAAAGCAAGGTCCATGCACAGAAACCTGCAGTCAGGAAATGCCAAAGTTAAAGGAGTCTCCTCGCTCTTCCAGACAGGGGTAACACCTTCCCAAAGGCCAGCGAGGCCACAGGGAAAGCCTCTGCTAACACACAGCCCTTCATCTCCCCCAGCTTGGAAACCTAAGCGGCCTCACTCTCCAGATGAACGGAAAATTGAGAAGAATTTGCTCCAAATTTAACCAGGTACCTGTTGCTCTACCTCTCCGCCAAGAGATGAGGTAGTTGGCACATCACCACAGGGCCTTTGTAGCCTGTGGAACAGATGAGAGGAAGAGAACAGGAATTAATTCAGTTGGCTTTATTTTGGCTGGCCAGAGTCCTCAGGCACTCTGGAATGCATCCCAGGCACCTTCCAGGACAGATAATGTTTCTCTCCAAACACTCACATTCCCCACTAGCAGCTGGGTGCTTCTGTTCAGCATCAATTAACCAAAAGGCCCTCTTTGTTTAGACTCACCATAAAGGTGCAGCCCTCAAGCTTCACTTTTTTTTTTTTTTTTTTAAGGCTGGTGTAGACCACTCGCTTTGCTACGAACTTCTTACAAATATCCTCCTGCGTGCACACAGAGTGCTGCATGCACAAACACTGAAACTACTGCTCTTGTTTCTCAGAGGGTTAGACAGCTCTGAGGTTTCCCTGAGGAGCACCATATTCCTCTAAAACCAGTTCTTCACCTGCCAGGGTGGGGTGGGAAGACCCTCAGGATCTGCCATTGCTCTGCCTTATTGAATCAGAGGATTCTTTGGAGATGTGGAAATGCCAAACAGTTCAATGTAGTTCTCAAAAAAAGAGCAACGAGATGAGCGGCTGGTTCTGGAAGATGGCACCTCAGCAGAGACAGGCTGGTGCAGCTGAGAAAGGGAAAAGGACCCAAGTCATAGAACGGTTTGGGTTGGAAGGGACCTTCAAGATCAACTCATTCCAACCCCCTGCCATGGGCAGGGGACACCTCCTGCTAGAGCAGGTTGCAACCTGGCCTTGGACACCTCCAGTGATGAGGCATCCACAGCTTCCCTGGGCAACCTGTGCCAGTGTCTCACCACCCTCACAATGAAGAGCTTCTTCCTCATTTCTAGTCTAAACCTCCCCTCCTCCAGTCTGAAGCCATTACCTCTCATCCTATCACTACAAGCTCTTGTAAAAAGTCCCTTCCTGGCTTTCTTGTATGCCCCCTACAAGTCCTGCTCCAGCTTTGAGCCTGGCCTGGTTTTATCCAAGGGGATGAACACAGCACACACTGAAGAGCTGTCTGCAGCTTGCGTGGGCTTAACTAAGCCAGACCTAGAAAAAACATCATCTGGGTACCACACGAGGTGAGAGCTCAGCGTGGGCACCAGCATCTCCCATCAAGACCCATGATAAACGGATCTCAACAGCATCTCATCCCACACTGTTATCAGTCAGGCTCTATCTACCTCTAGACTGTGGATTTAACAGTTCCTTTGGCCTTTGTTCTCTCTGTATACAGGGGAAGTCACCACACTTAGCACTCCTGGTTTTCTCCAAAACTTTTCTAGAAACCTTTACAGTGTCCCGAGTAAGTCATCTTGGCACTAGGTCTACGCAGAAATCCTCCCTGTGGAGGTCCTCCCAACAGGACAGACATCAGCCAGTACATCAGAGGATTCTCAAGGAGAAAGAACTTCTCCCTAAGGTGGGGTCTACAGCACCCCAAGTGCCACCCCATAAGCACTGTAGGGGAGGTGAGACTACAGGTGGAAAGCCTGCAGCCCACCCCTGAGGCTGGTAGCAGACAAGGAGTCTGCAGGAGCAGCTGGCCTGCAGCACGGAGGATGTGCCGAGCAGAATGAGAACGACCCACCAGGAAGAGGTCCAAAGCAAGATGGAAAACAGATATCCATCCTCAAATGGAGCTGAAGGGGTTTGGGCTGTTCACCTGCCACTCCAGAGCACAGGAAGAGCACCAGAGAAATGAGGTGGCTGAGGAAGGTCCAGTTAGTCCACCATGGGAAGATGGGGAGCGGGGTGATGACAGGGGATATGAAGGAATCTCAGGGCCTATGGAAAAATTTGGAGCACTCAAGGACAAATTTGGTATCCCATCAAGAAGGGCCATTAGGTTACTCTGCTGACAAGGCTCCCCATTTTTAATCCTGGTAGCAAGGAGGCACCAACAGCTCAATCATTGCTGCAGCAGCTTCGTAGGAAGATCTGCCAGAACCACAACCCTTGTGCTTTAAAGCTCACCACATCAAAACTGATACAAAAAAAGTATCAATCCAGAAAAGCAGCTGATAGCTGACAGATCACAGCTGTTGCCAAGTAATATTTATATCGAGCAATGTGGTGTTTAGCCTGATATCTGCAGGAGCTGCTGGCTCAGCTACAGCCTCGCTGATGTTACCTACCACATCTTTCCGCAGCACGCGGAGGCGGACGTACCATTTTGGAAGCCGAGTTTAAATTCCAAATCATAAGCAGGTCACTGCATTAAAACATTAACTTTGGCATTTCATGACAAAGCCTTTAAAATAATAAAATTGAGAAGAACCCAAGGAAAACATTCGAGTGTGGAAATCAGCAGACTTCTCAACAATTTCACACATCTGCATTTCTAAAATGCCCCTGCTTACAGGGTGGTTCCCACCACGACATCACAGAAAGCTTTAAATGCCATTACAGAAGATGCAAAAGTGTCCAAGGGAATGAAGGACTCATGTCGGACTTTAGTTGAGAAGATATTGTGCCAATTATTGCACCTCTTTATCCAGGCAAACCTAACGCACAGATGCCAGCTGTGTTATTCTCTACTGGATTTTGTCGCCCAAGAAAGCAGGCAGAGAAAACATCTGCCCACCATGGAGGGGCATCACTCTCCAGGACTCAAGCTTAGCTGCCTTTAAAATAGGAGCAGACCAAGGAAGCAAATTTAATAACCTCAGTTTCTTGGCTCATCATCTTGGACACCTCCACCAGAGATGATGAACCCAGATCCCTCGGGCATCTAAGGAGCAGCCAGACCAGCCAGGAAAACTTCAGCCTTTGAAATAAAGTCGTGACCCCTTCACCTCCAACATGTGCTTAGACACACTAAAGTGATGGTTCCACTGTGATCCGGGCAAGTCAAAGCCAATTTCTACTAAAGTAAATCCATTTGAGGCTGCACTTTGTCAAATCACAATCCGAGATCTTCTTCTGGTTCTTGGGAAACTTCATCAAATGAAACTGAACTGCAGGGAACTGTGACCAGCCACCGAAGAGGTAAGACACTCCCTGTCCAGCCCGACATCCACATCAGGTCAATATGGGGTAGCAAGATGGGACACGTGCAGGACAACATTTAAAGTCTCTTTTCCAAAGTTTTCTGGGCTGGTTGGGAGCCACTTTGAGGCCAAACTGCTGGCAGTATAAACCCTTTAGCAGCTGTGAAGCTGTTAGTTGTGCAGAGGAACATGCAGTAAACAGCTCGAGTTCTGCTGGGTACACACCTAGAGCAGACTCAATGCATGCTCTAGAAGCTGTTAGTAAATGCTACTCAGGAGGTTAAGATCAAAAGCTAGTTTCCTCTAGCTATGCACTACTGAAGATGGTTTTTGACCTGCTACAGAAGCAATCCAAGCCTCACCCATTCTCAAAGTAGCAACATCTATTCTCTGTTCCGTAAGATTTTTTTTCCATTCTCCAAACCATAGCTCTGAAATGGTGAAGGTTGCCTGAACTCCACAAGCAGATTGGTGTTTCAGCACCTGTTTCCACCCCAAAAGGCAAGCTGCTTTGTGACCAGCCCCTTGTGCGGCACGAGCTGCCGTTGGGACTTCTCGCCCACGCTGCAGAGCTTGGCCAGCCCAGGAAGGCGCGGAGGATGCCACGCTTCCCATGCTGACCCAGCGTGGTGCCCTCCACGTGCTCAGAAGGACCTGCGCTGTTACTTGGACGTGTCATGTTCCTATAGCACATTTCTCAACATAGCAACCGCTTCTCACAAGGGTTCCTTGGAGAGGTTTTCTTGATAGATGTTGTAGTAAGCAGCTACGTGTCCTCTTAAAGCCTGTTTCTCCATGAGGTTCTTTCAAATACCCTTCTAAAACCCATGGGGTTTTTTCAAATAGCCTTTTAGCCTCAAAGTGCCCCTTCTCCCATTTTTAAAGAGGAAGGAATACAGAAGAACCTCAAGGATGAAACAGTTACTACTATTTTTTGTGTACCGAACACAGTTTAACTAATTAGTGCTACCATCAAGCCTGACAGTAAACCCTTAACTTAAGAAAATATAACTGGGTGGCTATTACAATTAGATCAGGAGTTTCCAGAGCATTCCTTAAATAGAAATTCAGTTCCACACCAAAGTAAGAGCCCTACCCTCACTCTTAACTTTGAAAGCATTTTCTTTTTGAAGCATCCCAGCAGTCCCAATCCCTTTAAGTGTAACACTTCCATAGGAAACCTGCCCGGTGCCCATGGAGGGGGGGAAGGCCACCATGGATTAGTGTTCCCAGCTACCCCCTGCGCTCCTCAGGGCTGACAGGCAGGACTTCTCAGGGCTGCTACAGCAGGGAAGACATGGGAGCTCTAGACCCACTGTGCAACAAAAGCTTGAAGGATATTGAAATAAACACCCTCCCACCCCAGTCCGGGATCTTTGGGAAATTCAGTGTCAGCACAGCACTTGGACCCTCTGCGCTCGCTGGGCTTAGTGTTCAGAGAGGGAAGAAAGGAGAGAGCAAAGAGCTCAGAGCTGAATGAGATGGGCCGCTGATGCTTCCTGCCACAAAGTCTCTTTCTGCCTTTTGTTTGGGTGTGTTTGGGTTTTTTTCCTTCTTCACAGGTGGCTTTGAGCACACTTACCGTCTGGGACTTCATCTGGCCGCTTCCTTTTCTCATAAATAACTATGATGACAACGAGGATCACGATTTCTGCCAAGATCCCCAAAAAGGGCCAGAGGGGAGCTAAGTGGCTGCGGACACGGAGGATGGTTGTGACCGAGACAGAGCCGACCTGGTTGGTTGCATTGCACTGGTACTCGCCAGGATCCTCATTTATCTGTAGGTTTGTGATGCTGAGCTCGGTGTAGTTCTCTTTATTTGAAATAAAGAATCTGCCGGAGGAGTTGTTGATGTCCTGATGAAAGGAGAAAGGTGGGAGAGGAAATGAACAAGAGTTTTAGTACATTCTGGCACCTTTTCATTTCTACATCATGGAAGCTAGGAGAGATTTGAGGGATTCTTGCAAACAGCTGGTTCCTTAATGCAACAGGAGAGCCCAGTGCTAGCGTTTGTTCTGTATTTCTCAAAGTGAACTGTGCTTCAAAACAACAGCAAAACGCCAAAGCTTAACTGACAGCCTCTATTTTCAACTTACTTATCAGCACCAGCCCCAAAACGCCAGTGGTTGTGACTCCATAAGCTACCATGTTATGCTCTCAGCCTTTTACTTCCAAAGAAACGGTTCTGCGCCATTCACCAGTTAACAGGTTGACCTAAATGGCTGAGACAAGTAACAGGAGAGAGGGGACACATTCCCTGGCAGAGGACAAAACCATAGCAGAGTAGAGGGGAAAAAAAACAAAAAAGCAGTACCAGTTATCATTATTATCTGCCACTAAAGTCTAACTATTTAAGGTCTCATGGCCCTAAAAAAATTTTGCCTTTGCTGTGTTTTTAGGAGAAATGTGCTGAATTCCAGATTTCTGGTCAGGGCAGCCTAAGCCAATGATTTCAGGAATATTTAGATAAGCTGGAATTCAATTCACTATATTCTTCCTACAATTAAAAAAACAACAAAACAACAAACCAAAACCACACACAACCCTTTCAGAGTTGCTTACATTTAATGAATTAAAAAAGGGGCAAAACTTTGCCAAAGTACAGATGGGCTGAAGGATTTAGCAACTTCCAGCTTCTCCTCTGCTATTATAATCACTGGTCAAATTTTCTTGCTTACTAGATCAGTTGCTCCATAGGAAAAAATATGGTCACTTAAACAGTAACAGGCATCACTGCCACGGTCTTGTGAGCTCAACCAGTAAAACGTAACAAGAAACTCTGGTCACACAACAATATAAATATCCATTTTCTACTCACCGCTGCTGAAAAAATCTGCACTCCACTCACTAATACATGAGATTTTTGAGGAGCTGCATTTCAAGAAATTATAAGGGCACCCTAAACAACACATCCCTAACCCCAAAGTGCTCGTTTCCTTCCCCACTGGGGGTTTTGGCAGGTTTAAGGTGTGCCTGACACACCAGTTTTCTTACCTCAAACACTCCATTGACCTTCTTGCGCCACACCCACTCGGGGTGGGGAAAGCCCACAGACTTGCAGTACATGAGTGCTTCCTGCCCCTCATTTTTATTTTCACTCCGCTTGTGGCCAGTGATGTCAGGAGTAGCTACAAAACAAGGGGAAAAAAAAGAAAGAAGGGGTTATTTCAAGCTCTGAGAATTTCAACAGAAAGTAAGCAAAAAGTTCCCTGGAAGGTGCTTCTTTACCCCCGCCCCCCCGCCGAGTCTATCTGACAGAAGAAAAATTGTGATTCCCATGTCTCTCCAAACACCATCTCAACTGAAGGTCAGCAAGAATATCCTTCAGGCTTCGTCTGCTGGACAAGGGGGAAATCTCAACATCAAACTCAAGTTATCAACCAAAAACCTACAAAATTAAGATGGCTGGGCCATTCCCCAGCACAGGAAGCTGAAGAAACATCCTCGTCACCCTCCGCACCACTCAGGAGGTCCCTGCACCTTCAGCTTTCAAACAGAGCTGCCAGAGGTGCTGGTCACAACTTGTCCATGGCGTCAGGACTCTGAACTGATACTGCCTTAATGCAAATTTCTGAAAGCTGAGCCGAGGCGTTCTTCCTTGAGCAAGATTTTCAGATTCAGTCCACAGACAAGCTGAGACTTGTTACGCTTCACGCTCATTACACCTTCCAGCGACACAACTCCTGGGTACTGGTCGCAGCGCAGCACAAGTCAAAATCCCTCCAATATCAAAGAGTTCCATTCAGCCTGTACACAAATACACCTATTCCAAGAAGGGCTGGAGGTGAAGCAAAACACAGCCCCGAGTGTCAGCCCCTTCTGAATTCCTTTACCTATAAATAATGTCACTGCTGTTTGTCACAGCAGCCCGCTGCGGCTTAATACCTCACGAGAGATTACGGTGGATCAATGGGCTGCCCGAGCTGAACCTTCCCTTCAGCAGATGGCTGCAGCGCCGTGGTGACCACCTTCAAAGGCCACTCGCTTTCTAGCTCGCTAATTCTGCCACACGTGGCCTGCTGTGTGATCACAGGATGCCTGATCTGTTAATCCAGCCCAAGTCCGAGCCGAGCGCTCCAGGGAGACCCCCAGGCACGGGAATTTACTACAAGGGTCTGTTCAAGGAGAGGTCCCTTCACCGCCAGCAAGCCTCACACGCTCCCTCTCTAGGCCGAGTAGAAAAGGACGTGGGGGTGCTGGTCAACAGCTGGCTGAAGATGCGCAGACGTGGCCAAGAAGGCCACCAGCACCCTGGCTTGAATCAGCACTAGTGTGACCCGCAGGACCAGGGCAGCAAATCGTCCCCCTGGATTGGCTACTGGTGAGGTCACATCTCAAGTCCTGGGTTCAGTTTGAGGCCCCTCACTCCAAGAAGGATCTTGAGGGGCTGGAATGTGGCCAGAGAAAGGCAACAAAGCTGCTTGGGAAGGGTCTAGAGTCCAAGTGTGGCGAGAAACAGCTGAGGGTGTAGAGCCTGGAGCAAAGGAGGCTCAGGGGAGACCTCATTCTCAACTCCCTGGAAGGAGGCTGGAGCCAGCTGGGGGTTGGGTTCTTTTCCCAAGGAACAAGCAAAAGGACAAGAGAAAACAGCCTCAAGTTGCACCAGGGGAGTTGGTTTAAGTTGGACCTGAGGAACAATCTGTTGCCTGCCAGGGTTGTCCAGGCCTGTCCCAGGCTGCCCAGGGCAGTGGTGGAGTCCCCCTCCCTGGAGGGGTTTCAGAGTCCTGGAGATGTGGTGCTGAGAGACGTGGTTTAGTGGTGTCCTGGCAGTGCCAGGGTAATGGCTGGACTCTACCTGAAAGGTCTCTTCCGACCAAAAACATTCTATGATTCTATCTTTACACATCAAACATGAAAATACTTTGTGAGAGACACAAAACATGAACTGAATGAAGACAGCAGATCATAATACTCTGGTCTTGTGCAGAAAGGAGCTGCCAGGTATAGAAACTGAAGCAAGCTGGAAAGGAAAGAAACACTCCATACTCCAAGTGATCACATCCCACCTGTTCCTGCCTACAGGGGGCAATAATACTTGAAGGAAATTAAGTTTTCAAGCTGAAGGTCTTGAAGAAGAAAATCAATCAGCTTCAGTGCTGAGATCTTCATGGTATTGTCCTTTCAAAGCACTGTCCCCAGCCCCTGAGAGACTATAATGTTTGTTCCAAAAGATGGTGGTTCCTCAAGAAGCAATTTGCATCTTGTCATCCACTGAAAGGCGTCATCTCTTCCTTGCTAGGCTTAGAAAGTCCTTCCAGGCAGGACCCAGGTAAGCCCGGTGACTTCCCCTCGAGGATGATGAGCCGAGAGCTCACCCAGTCTAATGAACATGCAAGGCCAGCAGAAGCAGAGCACGAGACAGCCTGGAGGCAGCAAAGCAACGGGCCCAAAAGGGTACTGACGGGTTGTCACAAGTGACTGCAAGTCACCCCCATTAGGGGAAGGAGAAATTGGATTCAGCAGCTTAAAGCTGAAGCTGAAGCCCACAACATCTCCATCTGTCAGCACTTGGGTCCTCCCTGGTATCTACCAGCAGACAGCGAGTCGAAGCCGATCTGTTCGGGCAGTGCTCTGCAGCTGGCCCACTCCTTCTGCGAGGCTGCTGATAAAGAAGGAAAGGAGGAGGGAAAGCTTTCTCTAGGACACCCTAGTGAGGGGTGACCTCATCTTCTCCTCCAGCCCCAGGATAAGGCTCTTCCTTTCAGAGGAGGACATCTCCGGCGGGTTCTGCCAGGGAAAGCAGCAGCGACAGGACAGGCTCTGCAGCAGCCATTCCAGCTCCACCAGCACTACCGCTGTCCGTGCGCAGTCTGAGGGGAGCACCACACAGAATATTAATATCCCAGGGCACAACGCTAGCCAGCTTCGAGCGATGCCCCAGACATTAATCCAACATTTATTCTGCCCAATTTTTTTTTTGGCTAATTGTGTACAAACTACAATTAAAACATCGCCACAACCGACCTCAGCCACAACCGAGCAATGTTTTCCTACAAAGCTTTTCAAGTCAAGGTTTTTTTTTTCCTTACACCATTCTGCTCCAGCATCAGGAACAGATCAAGCAGGTTTTGTTCAGAAAGAATTTGGATTTCACTTCAGCTTTTAAGCAGCAGAATCCACACCTCTGCTCAGATACAGTTGGCTGTGGAGACATGGGCACAACATGCTATGTCAGCTCCTAAATCAACGTAACCAAGAGAATGCCCCTGATAAAACAGAGCAAGTTTCTTATTCTGATGTTGTGAAACAGGAAAACAAAATACTGAAGATTTGTTTGAAACGGCATATAGAAGAGCAAGGAGAGGTAGGGCTAGTCTATATTGGTTGTTACCAAAAAAAAAAAAAAAAAAAATAAAAATAAACACAGATTTAGCCATTCCTGACCTAAGAGGAAACTTCCAATAAGCCATTTTTTTTTGTACTCTTTCGATAGTTTTACACTGAATCACAACATAAAGGGAGATTGTGGCAGAGGAAACTTTGGGCCTCCCTGCTTCAAGCACCCAACAGGCACAAAACACGCCATGCAGTAACTTTCTGCTTTTGCTACAGCCCTGAAAAGAGGCATTTATACCTTGTTATAGAGCATGCAATGTCATTGCTTGATGTATGGGAGGTATTCAGACCTTAATTTTCAGGTATTTCCAAGACATTTTTCTAGCTTTACTAAAAAGGAGAGAACCAATACATGTAACACCTCCAAACCATGTCCCAGTTAATGAAACCCCTTCCAAGTTTTCCCATTAATAGCCAAAATTAAAGCAAGGGCAAAAGCACCTAAAAAATACTCTTGCATGTAAAAATTGTCTTATGGGTGACCTAGTAAAAGGGCTGTGGAAGACTTCTTTTCCTGCATTACAATTCTAATCGCTCCGAGATGCAGTTGTGCTAAGAGAATGTCCCATTTCTTAATTTCTGGTACAGCCAAACTGCAGAAGACAGCCAGGAGTTGAGAAACCAAGCTCCTGCAAGGCTGCTGAGAGAACCACTGGGCTTCCAGCATGCTGCTTGGGCTGGAGCCAGAGGCAAAGTGGGAGAGTAGCGCTCTGAGCACAGGTCTTGCATGTGAAATGAGCTGCTGGCTCAGATGAAGTTTGGGGTGTAACAAGCATTTGTCAAAGGTGCTAAGTTTCCTGTCTTTCAGAAGCAGTGGACAGGACTGGTCTGAGCACTTGCTGTTGGGAAATCAATAGCACCTGGCAGGGTAGAAGAGGAAGGGGCAAAATGAGCAAGGGATGAGGAGTGAAGTCAGAAGAATCCCCTTGGGAAGAGCAGAAAGGCCTTGTAGGAGAAGGCAGTAAAGAGCTCTACCTGTGCAGGTGCACGGCAAGGAGGGGAAGGCAGGGCAAGGGGAAGAGACTACCTCCACCAGTCATGCTACATGTATCAATGTCTTTCTCTGTGCTTGCACCACTTCTGGGCAGCCAGAGCAAACTGGAAGCATGTTCCTCCCCATCTGGTTCTCACTGCTGCTGCTCTGCGCCAAACAGTGGTTTGGGGAACATCAGAAAGCAAAGACAAACCTCCTCCCAAGACCTTGGTAAGAGCAGAAAGGTTGCAGAGGCAGAATTCTTCACGATTGCCTTTTTTTTTTTTAAATCTTCAATTTTTTCATCACAACACCACAGTAAAAGCACTGCAGGTATTTCCACCGTGTGGCAATAGAGCACTTTTTAAAAAGACTGCTTCCAGATGTAGAGCAGATAGCGCACTGCATCTTGGCTAGTGCCTGGCAGGATCATCATCATCATCATCACTGCCCCTGCTGAAAATAACCCCATCACCCGTCATGGGCTGGTACCTGCAATGCTCTCAGCCAGGATGGCTGCACAAGCCAAGGGTGGGAGAAGGTCCCTGTGTCAAGGCAGAATCCTGGCAGTTGCTCGGCCTCTTGTTCCAGGCTCAGAGCTGCACTCAACGCCCCCGACAGCTCTGAGGTAACTCGAAGAGCAACAGTCCAAAGCCTCCACCAGTCCCTTCATCCAAAAGCTGTCTGTTTGAAGCAAGCCAGGCTGTGGCCATTCCTGTTATTCCCCCAGGCTGACACTAAAACCTCAGTATTTTCAGCTGTTCTTCTACTAGTGCTACCCTAGTAATTTGTTTAACTGAGACCCTCTGGTGTAAGTGTACAAGACTGTGATGCTGCTCATGTTCCTGCTTCTTTATCTTCTTCCATAGCACATGGAGAGATTCAGGAAGAAAATAGGCAACATTACATAAAAGGCAAATGGCACCGGTGTACCCTGGATTACATCTGCTGCCAGGCACTTGTTAGAGTCATTCACAACTTGTCAGAAAGTCACTATTTTGGGCCACAAGTGCTTTCATATTCAGAACCATCTTTTCTATATGCATCAGCAATTAAAAATTGCAATATAATGACCTGTTAAATTTGTGTCCAATCGCTTAACCACAAATACCATGAGAGGCCAGCATTAAATTACAGCATCTATGTGGTCAAACAAAGTTCATGCATCATATACACCTTTATTAACTAGGTAACATGAAGTAGTACCAAATATTGGTTTGCTTTGAGAACTAGAACTGCTCTGGCAGAATGTGTGGAATATTTACACCAAACTGCAGGAATCACAGAGAATCCTTTCCTTTGCAAAGTGGAAAAAAAAAGCCTGTGCATCCTTTACAACTAGCATGGATATTATTCAGAGACACTGCCAGCCAAGAAAATATGTGATACTGTACAAGTTTAGCTAGACAGCTCCTCCAGGAGCAGCAACTCCAACAAGGACTCTCGGATCAGAATGAATTTACGTACACTACAGAAAACCCTGGTTCTTCTCTCTGCTGAGGAGGAATTCAAGGCTCATCAGCCTCTTGTGGTGCTGCAAGGAGGAGCTGGAGAACAGGATTATCAAGTCCTGGAATTACAACTGCTGAGCAAGCTGCAGGTGTAACACCACCTACGAACAGCGCTGGAGTTATTAACTTTGAACTGATGACTACTCATGGGTAATTACATATAAATGACCTCTGAAAAATTGTTAGTAGGATTAATTATTATTCTCCCTGTGTCCTTTGTGCCAGTACCTCAAGGGATATATTGGCTTTTCTTCCTACCACTTTAAATCCCATGTCCCCACCTGGCACTGGACAGCAGAGAAGCCCTCAGCCAAATGTTTCTACAAGGTCTTCTGAGAGATTATACAAATCTGAAAAAGGTCTTAATCTATTACTGAAGTGAAATTTCCTGTCTCTGGAAGTAGTCTGTCACCCAAAGCAGCCTTGAGAAGGCAGAAAATACTTAAGATCTTAATTAAGATTATATGAGAAGATTCAGCAACTAGAGTTTGCAAGCAGAATGAAAAAATCCCCCCCAAACAATAAAAACCCCCACATCTATGTACCTTGAACACTCAGAATACAAGCTCACCAGAAGTACAATGTGACTCTGAGTTCAACTTGCTGAAAGCAATGCAGTATTTTTAGAGGTGCAGTTAGTTTTTTTTTTTTAATATTTTTAAATCCTAAGCCAACAGGAACTTGTGGTGCATTTGAATGAGCACATATTTGAGATTTCCTTTTTCCTTGCCGAGATAGCTTCTGCACCAGATTTGGTTAAATCCTGGGTATATTTTGATAGTTTGTCTTATGCAAGATCATTTTTAAATCCACACAGGAAGTCAGCAAGCTTTTCTTGGTACAGTATCAGTCAGAATCCTTATTTATAGGGCAATATTTCTCTTCCCCAGGAAACTGCATGTTTCAAAAGATGCTGCTCTCTAGAGAGGAAAAATGGTGTTCAGGGTAGTACTGGGCATGTGTTATTTCACACCAACTGCTGAATTACTCCCACTTCCTCACTTTGGATTCAGGAACCTGCAGTCAGGTTCGATTTCAAGCCAGTGTACATGAACCAAACATCAGTATCGTCCCAAACGTGCACAGGCTGGTTGCAAGACTAACATTTTTGAATGAACTTGTCTGCCTTTGACTAAACAAAGCTGCCATAATGTATCAGATTCTGTCTTGCTGCAGCAAACCACGGCCACTGCAGAGCAGCAGGACAGTGATTTCCACAGTTATTCAGTGAACACACAACTGTACTGTGGCAGCAGGTTAACACTCTACGAACCACCATCATCTCCATGTTACCTTGATGTTGAACCTCTAATACAAACACTGTTCTTTGGTTCAGCAACTACAGTAAAACTCAGTGCAAGCCTTTCACATTCTCCAGTTCCTACTCATGAATTTAGAGTCCTAAAGCCATCAGAAGGCTAATGACATGCACAAGATGGAAAAAAAAAAAAAAAGGTGCATGAAAGTGGAAAACCCTGATCTGGCACAGCGACAGCACTTCACTTTCAGGGAGAGGAAAAACAAAACAAAACAAAAAGAAGAGTACCTTTCACTTCTATAGTGGCGTTGGCTATAGGAGAGTTTGAAAACACAAACACGCACAAGTATTCCCCTGACTCTTCTGCTCTGGGCTTCAAAATCCTGCAGACAGGGAGAGAACACAGGAGCCGTGTTAAGTAGTGTGTTAGCAACCAAAAATGAGCAGGCTAGGAATTTATCCCCCCCTCCCACACTCACTTTTATCTTTTAACTGATTTTCACAGCTATTACCTGTTAATTCAAGGTATGTTATACAGATGTACCTACTTGAAATAAGGGATATTGTTTGCCTAGAAAAAAGGGTGCGCTCTAGCCTGGAAAGTCAGTAACAATTTCACTGGAGAAGCTGCATTTAGTCAAAAAGCAAAGAAGGAGCCCAACACCTGTTAATTATGCAGTACAGTTAGTTTGATGCAAGTCACCCTCAAGTCACCAGCCTACTAGGCAGATATCACCTCCCCTTGAGGGAAAAATGTGACTTAATATACTATCCACATTAAAAAAATCATACACAGCCAATTGGAAAGTGACAGACTATAAACACAATCAAGGCTGGCACTGTCATCTCCTAAGCTGGTTTTTTTTTCCATAACAGATACAAGGCTGTTCCATCAACAGTGTTCTCCGATTCAAACTGGATGTGGCAAAACTGCAAAAGCTGTTCAATTCCTGAAGGAAGCCACCACACAGGAACCTGCCACCACTTAAAATTAGGCAAGGCTAATGCAACAACAACCAGAGGGAAAACCAGATACAAGCCAGCCAGAAGAAAATCCCAGCTGTAACAAATGCAAATAAAAAAAAAAAAATTAACAAATCAAGATGAATTTACACTCGGCATGGTGCTAACCTCAAGTCCACCAGCTTTTGCTCTCCTTCAGAAAGCTTTTGGAACAAATCATAGGTTCTACATGTATGTTCTTCAGATATTTACCTACAAAAGACATCTTAGTCTAGAGAAGCATCTGACAACATGATGCAGAATTTACATCTCCACCCAGCACAGAATGAGTTCTCCCCAGCCCTCTTCCCTCTATCGAAAGGCATCTTGGCTTTCTTTGTTATTAATTTTGCAAAACCACATTAAGTAAGTAGCATGCAGATGAGCAGCACTGCAATAAACCAATTTGATTACACATGGAAATTGCTTAGACAGAGGGAAAAAGCTGCTCAGTTTAATGCAATACTTTGGCTCAAGCCTTCACTGACCAAGGGGCAGCCCTCCCCTCGCTGACTCGGGACAGCCCCACCCAGCAGCTGCTATAACTAAGCTGTCCTAGGCCTCTGCAACAGCGAGGGAAGGCAGAGGGTATCTGGCTTTCTGCAACAGCACTTAGGGCCTTAATAGTTAAACAATCATACTCTCACCATCACTTTTGAAAAGGAGAGGGGGGGAAAAGAAGTAAGACATTGTATTCTTTCAGTTCTGCATCAGCTTCTATTTCGAGTGTGAAACTACAGTAACCTCCACTAGAGTATTATTACCACAAACCATGAAAGCAAGTGCAAGTTGATATGACTGCCAAGTTTTATAGACAAATAGACACCTGAAACAAGTCTGCTTAGCCAACAAAACTTCCCTCAGCCCTGTGGTTTTAGGAAGAGCACAGTTTTCAGAGAGAAAGACTTTTCAACAGATGCAAAATTTTTTTTTTTTTTCCATGTAGCTCAGTAACTGAATTAACTGATGAGGAATTTGTAAAGAAGTCCTTCCTTTTCTCCTCCAAACTGTGAATAGAGACTAGGGGACAGGTCTCCAGAACAAAAGTGCAGGATGGCCAGAACCACTGCCAGGCACCATCTGCTTGTAAAGGAACACACTATGAATAATTCTTGCCCATTTTTAATTAAAATGGTGAACTAAAAAGCTGTAATTTGAGCTTTCGGACTACAGTTGCCTTCCGGCAAGAGCAGCTACATCGAGTTTGAATGAAAAATTTGGAAAGATGGGCTTAACTTCTAATGTTGTATGAAGCAGGATTTTGAGGGTACATAGTTTAATTCAAAATTCTGAACGGTAAACAATACTAAACTTCAATGAACTAACTATATTTCACAGCAAAACAACAAAGCTTAATGACTGAAACACCAACAACCTGAAACACATTTTATTTCTCAAGGAAAATAAGTAGAACGCAGGAGACTAACCAATCATGTAAAAAAATGCATGTTAAATGACCTCTTAACTACAACTATGTTGATATTGCTCAAGATAAAATGGCATTTCTAGATCTAAAAAAAAAAAAAGTAACCAAATCAAGCTAGAATGATGCCATGTGATTTTCAATAATCCTGATGCAACATACCTTTTGTACCACTCAAGCTGGTGCTTTTGGACAAGACTGCTTATCAAGTTAATTATTAGATAAGAAAGCGGAGCCTTCAAAACTCAGACCCGGCATTAAACATTGTACTGAGGAAACAACAGGATGTAATTATGGAACTAAACGAGTCTGTTTTTCAAACTGCAAAACTGAGCAGATAATACAAAGTGAGCTGAAGTGGAAAACAAAAGGAAAAGCTTCAAACCATCTTTATCAGCATCAAAGACAACTTCCATCATCCTGTGCATGAAAGGATGTTTTGCTATGGAACTGGAAGCCTTGAGTATTCCTCAGTTCATTCTTTCTTAACTCTTTCTGACAAGACAGCCAAATAAGAGGGTCAGAAGTGGTCTACTGTCTCCAAAGAGTAAATTACCACCAGTGGTTAAGACATTCCTTAAGTAATCACTGTCTTAGCTTAAACTCTGAACAACAGAAGGTTGTATTTGGTCTTCATGCTGCATCAAGAGCAGAAAATAGAAGGAAAAACAAACCACAAACCAACAACAAATAAGAAAGTTACACAAAACAGCTCTTTGATGGCACCACCGAGCAAGCTTCATATGCTCTCAAGTCCATGGGAAGAAAGCCCCATTTCAGGAATACAGAAAGCCTCAGAGGATTTCTGCTTGATGCAAGCTGCAGGGAAACAGAAGAGGTGGCTGTACACGTGCTGCTCTCCTTCACTCCCCCAGATGGCAAGTAAGAAACAACACCAGAGCACACACACGTGGAACAGCTTCATGCTGCAAGTGGGGATGTACTGACAAATAAGAACCAAAAGTGATACAGATGTAGTGGTTTAATCAAGATTTGGTACCTGACAAGTCAGGTAGCACCTCAGACAACACTGTCTTTCATCTTCCAAGGCCAGAAAGTGCCTAAAACGGCTGACTGCAGCAGTGATTTATGTGCTGCATTCCCCTGCATGATAAAAATGCAGAGCTGCGGATCCAGCTCTGCGTAGCTGCAGGCAAGACAGAGACTTGCTATGCTCAGAGGGAAAGAAAACTAACTGGTGTGTCTGTGCCTACATCCACATATCATGTACACTAGAAAAGAATGAATCAAAATTCGTTCAGTTCATCTCTGAAGAGGGCAACAAAGCTGGGGAAGTGTCTAGAGCCCAAGTGTGGTGAGGAGCAGCTGAGGGACCTGGGGGTGCTGAGCCTGGAGCAAAGGAGGCTCAGGGGAGGCCTTCTGGAGCTCCACAGCTCCCTGACAGGAGGCTGGAGCCAGGTGGGGGTCAGGCTCTTCTCCCAAGGAACAAGTGACAGGACAAGAGGAAACAGCCTCAAGTTGCTTGAGGGGAGGTTGAGGTTGGCCACAAGGAACAACTTCTTCCCTGACAAGGCTGTCAAGGCCCTGGAACATGCTGCCCAGGGCAGTGATTTACAAGCTGTGTCGATGTGGTGCTGAGGGACATGGGTCAGTGGTGCCCTGGCAGTGCTGGGGGAACAGTTGGCCTCAATGATCTGAAAGGCCTCTTCTAACCAAAGCGATTCTATGAAAATAGAAGTTCACAGTATGTTTTCGTTGAGATTGTGTTTACATGCATCAGTTTTTTTTCCAGTCTCATTCTTCTAATGCTATCCACAGACGGTTTTTGTGGAGCCTCTAATGCAGATCATCTCCAATTTGTCTGAACGCTGTGAACCCCAGATTCCCAACATCCCCTCACCTATTCCAAAGCCTGCTAAGGTTTGTCATTCTCCAGTGAAACACCAGGGTTATTCCCAAGAGACTTACTTGTACTCTGTAGTGTTTGTAGATTTTCTAGTGCCAGGGATCTCCTCTCCGTTCTTCACCCAGTAGCTGGCAGAAAGGGGGCTGGGACTGGTGGTGAGGTTACACTGCAGTGTGACGGGCGGGCCATACACATGGATGACTACATCCTCGCTGGCATTGATCCTGGGCTCTGAAACAAAGGGCACAGTGAGCAGCAGCACATCTTCACTGGCAACTGTGCCACACTAGGCAAAGGCAAAGGGGAACTGGGAAGGGGAAGAGACTACACAAGGAAGAGCACTGCACTAATTTGGGAGACATCAAGAGTCACAGTAAAACAGCTGACCACTAGTGAAGGCAACACCTTATGGATCAGCACCCCTATACGGGAAAAAGATATTTGGGTTAGATTATTTCAGTATTTAACATCTCTACATATATCTAAGTTAAAACCATAAATCATTTTTTACACACAACTGACTATAACATGGGAAAACACTTGTCCTGTGACGACACAGAAGAGATTAGCTGGTCCTTTAGAAGCCAATTCCTTGTGGTTACTGGCTCCTCTGCTTCCTTTGAGGTTTAAAACAAATCCATTTTCTATGAGAACAGCCCTCAAAGTTAGACAAGTCTTCTCAATAGTATTTCTGGACTTCCCCCTGAAAGAAAGACTAATGTCTACCTGAGGGAAATACCCTGTGCACAGAAGATATTTCAAACAGCACAACTTTTGAGGCCTGAAATTTGAGCAAGCACCCAGCATGAACAAGGCACAAGTCAGATAAGAGTGGCTGAAAGCAGCCCCTAATGCTTAACAATAAAAAAATAAGAATATACAACATGGTAAAATTAGAGTTGGGAACTATTTCGTTTCTAAAGTAACCTCAAACATTTATGAATGAAAAAAAATAAAAATCATGTGCGCCTCATGGCATAAACAGACCACAAAAGTCACAAATTTCACTAGTTGCACTAAGAACTGAATCCAGGCTGTTTCATGTTAAAAATGACCTGCTAACATCAAATTCATATTTTTATTCATATTTTTTTAAGGGAAAGCCTTTTAGAATTGGTAAGATTCGCATGAGGGCATTGTCGTCATAAGATAACCGTGTCTTCCTAAGGTGGTGCAGATGGCTATTACTCTCTAACAAGTAGGGCTGATGAATTTTAGAATAGTCAAGAGACAAGTTTCTTCCCAGATTTGGAAAAAAGACTTTTTTATTGAAGGTCTCATGGCTCACAGCTGGTTTCAAGTATGCTGGGAAAAAAAAAAAAAAAAAAAAAAAAACACAAACCCGCACACACCACACTAAAAAAACCTTGAACACAGGATGACAAGAGCTTCAAGGAAACATAAGAATTCTTGCTATTAGTTTTCCAAAAATATCTAGATCTAGTATTGGCTACGGTTTCAACTGGAACTAAAGGCCACTGCTGTAGGAGCCTCCACCACAGAAACGCTGCTGGGAGCCCCCCTGTTTGATGTGTTTCCTTATTTTAAAGGGTGAAATGAATTCTTTGAATGCTGCCTCCTCTGCAAGGGACAGGAGGGTGAGGAAGTCGGTCAGTAATAAACATCTTCGGGGTTTTTGCAAGTCAGCAAAGGATTTTGTAATCATGTAAATTTTATTATGCCGTGGGGTGACATACTTGTAATATAGATTTAGTCAGATCCAGGCAGTCTTTTGGATATTCATCTGCAAAGTGCTTGGAACACAAATGATGAAATGGAACAAGGGGAAAGGGAAAATACCAGTACTGTCAGAAATGCTTGCATTTTTCTTCACCTAAAAACATTCCTCTACCCAACATTACAGTACTTATATTATTGCCCAGAGGGGCAGGGAATAAAAAAAAATATCTACTTACTAATAACGTGACAAAGCTATTCGACTCCTGTACATCATCCTCTCCCCCTTCCTTCAGCAGGCTGGCTACAGAGCTTCTTTTCATAGCTATTTAAAACCACCATTTAACTGCAGAAAAACTGTCAGCTGCTGCAGCCATGGAGGGGGTTTTGACGCTTCTCATAGACACTTTAGTATGATCACACATTTTCAACTGTGTTTCTGCCTCATTGTTCCCATGCTGGGAATCTTAACCACGCATGGATCCGCTTGGGTCCAAAATTGTTTTGTTATATGCATCTCCATCCCTAACAGAAAGCTCGTGTGTGTGGTCAGAAAAACACTAACAGAGCTCAGGAAATATTTTTTAGTAAGATGTTTGAAATATTAATTCAGTGTGAGACCCTTACAACTTCTCCTTAAATTCATTGATCACATTGGGTTTTGTTTTAAACCTTTTTCTTCGAGGATGAAAGCAGCGTCTTCAAGTCTGCAGGCAGTGAAATAAATGCAGTGGGGTTTTGTTTTTTTGTTTTGTTTTGTTTTGTTTGTGTTTTTTGGGTTTTCTTTTTGAAGGAGGATGCTGGCAGGACAGGCTTCAGGCTGCAGCACATCCAGGGAGTGCTGTGAGGACAGCTGCTGCTGCTGCCTTTGCTGAGACAGAGCCTGGAGCAGTGCTCAGCCTGCAGCTACCCTGGGAACAGCAAGTAGACACGCTGCCATCAGAAAGCATCACACGAATGGTAGCAAGAGGAAAAAGTCACTGAAAAATGTGAATCTCATCCCTACAGGAAGTGAAAGGCTTAATCCAGAAGGGGGTTGACAGGAGTAATCTGGCTTTCACATCCTGTTGGTAATGGACTCCTCATCCTCTAACACCGAGGAGCCAGAACCTCCAAAAAACCTGCCTGGAGCTCCACTGACTCTTTCTGCAAATCGACACCAATCCTTGCCTAAATCTCTGCTAAGCAGTGATGTCCAGAACACATTTACAGCTGCCTCAAGTTTTGCGGGGGCCTTCTGTGTCTGACTGAGCTTTCATTTTCTTAACCTAAAACTTCAAGTTGCAACCGTAGTCTCACTTCCATGTTAAACACAGTCAGGCAGTCCCAGTCTGATTTAATTCTAGAAGGCAAATGGAATGCTACTGGGACAGCAACACCCAAAGACCACTCGAAAGAGCAGGAAACTGAAGAGTCTTTTTTAAAACTGCCTGGTTTATGCAAGATGTATTAAATTTTAAAAGCAAGGAAACAAAAAACCACATTATTAAGTGAAATTCTTTATCCAAATTGGGAATGAGATAGAAGCCAGATGCTAATTCTCAGGTGCTAACTTTTAAAAACTGAGTTGTACTTGAGCTGTCTGCATTCAAGTTCTGGTATTGGATGCAAGCTGTGATTTACAGGACAGCCAAAAGAGGCTGTGCTCTTTCAATGCAGTTGACGTTTCCTTTCCACGATGTCGATGTCGAACGAGGCCAGAAGCAAAGTGGCCACAACTAGCTGGAAACTCCAATGCTGTTTAGTCAGAAAATTCCCATCTCAAAGACAAATAGTGCCTTCAAGCACACTATACAGCAGCTGAGCCATGTTGGGCAGCTTCAGATAAGATGGTCTCCACTTCCCAGGGATGGCTTGTAAACCTGCTTCCTACCCTCATCTCCCTTTCCAACATGGCCATGCAGGAGTTGGATGTCCACGCAGTCCATTTCCCAAGCAGTAGCTGGTCAGATCTCTTGACACATACAATATTACAGAGTAAAAGCATTAAAAGTATTTGGTTCAACATTTCCCCACCTTGCATAAAACACAACAGCAGAAGAATTATCCTGGGGCACAAGGCACTTCACAACAAAGTCACGATACACACTCCAGAATTAGCAGCACCAGATGCAAGGAGATGGTGTTAACTGGGGAGGAAGATGAAAGGTTAAACTTTAACTCCCAGAGCAGGTTAGTATCAATGGCCTGAGAGAGGAAAAACCCACTTTCCAGATGGAGACATCGTCACAGCAATTCATTCCCAAAGGGTGACTTTTTATGTGGAAAGGATTTTCTCCCTCAGTAGATGATTAAAACTGACTGGACACAAAGAGGAGCACAGAGACCACCACAGACTTGCCACACTCAAAAACTACAGGTCTTAACACAGGCAGAAGGGATTCTCTAGGAGATGTTATTTCCTAGAAGACAAGTTTTTTAACTTTGTCTTAAGGCAGTATCATTTCCTAAAATTCCAAGGTTCTTGCTTTGGTAGGTCATGCAAGCCATCTACCCACCAGAGTCCTTTGGGACCCCAAACGACAAAGGAGGAACCAAGCATCAGGACTGAAAGGTGAGCAGGTTTGAGCTGAACAACCCAATGCCACCTACGTTTTCAAGTCAAGCCACATCATTGGGTTCACTGTCTATTTTTCCAAGTCTGTCAATGCCGTTTCCATTTTCCAGTGGGAAGGTCTCTGATCCAGCAGCAACTCTTTAGGAAGAGTTTTGGAGGGTTTTAAGGTATCCAAAACCAGAACAGAGACATAATTACAGAGCTGGACATTTTTGTACCCAGCCCAAACTCAAAAGTGGTACATAAAAGGTTTATTTACGCACCGAGCACAACAGCAAGACAAGATCTGTGCTCCGCACTTTTTTTTAGTACATTGAGAAACCACTGAGAACACAAGTTCTGCTCTACTTCTCCATACCAGGTTTACATTTTAGATGTAATTTACTCTACCCATAACTCATTAGACATTTGCTTCATCTTCTGACCAAACACAAGAGAGTGCCATCGTACACAAAATGAAACAAGGTTCTTCTCCATTTCCAAACTCGCCCAGGACTGCTTTAAAAGCGAGCTGAACGCAGGGAAGTCTTGTAACAAGCAACAGAAAGCCGTTCTGGGTCAACCATATTCTGTGCTTTTGAAAGCTTTTCAGCGGCCAAAAGTTGCATTCTCAGAAGAAAGTTATTTAGCTAGTTATTAGTTCAGCGCCGGGGGAGGATATTTCCCCCCCCACACACACACACCTCCTTTCATAGGCTGGATTAAGAATAGCTGCATCAGTTCACTGCTGCTGCATCAGAGAACTCATAAGGAACAAGCTGCTGTTCAGAACGGAAAAGAAACACCACGACTTCATGGAAAATTTGAAACACTAAAGGTCACACGTAACTAAAAGGGAAGGATTTATACAGCAGCATATATGCAAACGAAATCATGTGAGAAGGCATTCAGTGAAGATCCAAGAGAACGAAAAGCGAAAATAAAACGGTTAGACCTGGGAAGAACACAGAAATCAAATATAAAGGCACTCACGGATAAGTCATTAGAGGGGCTGGAAACCTACTACAAAACTAAAGGGGATTGGGAAGAGACACGAATTCAGCAGCGGGATGTTTTCACACAGAAGCTACAAAACAGATCCACAGATTTTTCCCAAGTCCTTTGCTCCTGAGGAGAAGAGACACAGACGGCAGACAACAGCAGCGCTACAGGTGGAGGAGCGGTTTAGGGTTGAGAACAACAGGACAAGGGAGCAGAGGGTTGTACCGGGGTAACAGGAGGACAAGGGTCACTAGGCTGCCTCTAGAGACTACAGAACCACTACTGTGGGGTGCCGGACTCACTCTGAAGGACGCTTATAGTAGCCTGGGCTCGAATCCACGTTATGGAGGGATTTTGCCTCAAGTCATTCCTCCTGGGATCGTTGCTGGCCCTGCACTCGTAAGTCCCAGAGTCTTCCAAGGTAAGGCGGGTTATTCTCAGCACACTCACCCCATTCGCCCCGTAGGCAGTGTTAATGGTGACACGGCGCTTCCGAGCGCCATCCCACAGCTGTTTGAAAGACTCAGCCCGGTTGACTTCAGCATACCACCACTGGATCTCTGGAGTGGGGTTCCCAACCACATCACAGTACAGTTCAAAGGCGTCCCCCGTGAGTCTAGTTTCTGACATGGGCGACTTGACAAACCCAGCTAGAGGGAGGGGCAGCAGAAACGCAGTGACAGAGCGGCAGAAAACAAAAGATCTCATCAAGAACAAAGCAATGAGGTGCAGAAAACAAAGAGTTAGATAAGACATTAGCATCTACAGCAAGACAACTTTCAGAGAAAAAGCACAACACGAAGCACTTGCGGATCGAGGTCGACAGTCTGGCGCAGCACACTCCCACTCCGAGCATCCATAGGAGGCACGGTTTCACTTGAGCCAGGGGAGGTTTAGGCTCAACATTAGGAACCCCACGAGGGTTGTCCAGGCCTGTCCCAGACTGCCCAGGGCAGTGGTGGAGTCCCCATCCCTGGAGGGGGCCTCCAAGCCGTGGAGCTGTGGTGCTGAGGGACACGGTTGAGTGGGGACCTGGCAGTGCTGGGGGAACAGTTGGACTCAAATGATCTTAAAGGTCTTTTCCAACCTAAACAATCCTGTGATTGCCAGCACAAAGTGCTTGTCCTCCCCACTCTGGAGGATCCCCCCTGTGGCAGCTGTACTTGCAGGCCATGACTTCCCAGCCCTGACCTGGAGGTACCAGAAGGTGCCTCCAAGCCACAGAGCAGACTGAGGGGTTTTCAAGTCTTTCAGCTGTGTGGACTTTGTAATTGGGCAAGTGTTAACTGTCCATGGCCAGGTGTCTTTTCTCTGAAGAGTTTTCTTGCTTTATATGACCTATCTACAGGGGGGGATACAAAAAAGGGTAAAACCCCAACTTTCTGCACTATGCGGCTTGCAATCGTGAACTCTGCTTTGACCTTTCCTGCCATCTATTTTGGACTTCTGAGGCAGGGAATTCCCTAAGATACCAGTGCCCTACGTTCCTGAAGTAGCTGGATCACCAGAGCTCTAGGAGGCTCACGACCTTCTAAGGTAAAGGGAATTTCAGTGGTGTACACACCCAGAGGCCCAAAGATCATTTCATCTGTTAGGAAACGGGCAGCAGCAAAGATACTTCAAGGGGCCACACGATTTTTGCCTTCTGAAACAAGATGTCGTGCTGACATTCCTGATCAGGCCAAAATATCCTTATTACGGAATGAAATCCTTCAATACTTACCAGCTTCAGAGCTGTGTTAAGAGCACAGACATACTAAATTGTCCTTCAATCCTATTTTCAGAGGTATCTATTGAAAACAACGTTGCCTTAAAGCTAGTCTCTTCCCCCGCCAGGCCCCCTGCCCTAAAACTAAAAGATTAGAATGCAGCTGGCCAGACAGATTATGCAGCAAAACCTGTCATATTGCTGTGTTCCCTGGGCAACAGGACTTATCAGCAAGCAGTTCGGGTGCCACACAGCTGATAAAACTCAGATTGTTTCATCCCAAATTCACTAAGGAAGAGGATTGGAAGACAATTCAAGGGATTTTAGAAAATGGAAAGGTGAACTTCAAGCCTTGGAAAAATTTCTTAAGCATGCTCACTAAATATCACACCGCCCTCCATCGCTTGATCACACTCATGAAAGGAACTGTTGCACACTGACAGACAGTTACGTGGGAAGTCTGCACAATAGCTGGATCTCTAAAGAATCATTTGGGTGAACAAACAAGACCAGGAGCCTCTTGAGCACACCCAGAAACTGCTCCTTGCCAGCACAGTGCTGTTGGAAGAGCAATTGTGCAGTAACTGCAAGTAACAGCTATGTGAACAAACGCTTGGAAACAACAATTATTAACCTCAGAAATTGTTTCAGCTACAAACTCACTCAAGAGGGATTCTCCAGCGTTGTTACTGCAGCACTAATGCTCAGTGGAAACATCACAAGAAATAATGCAGGGAGAGGGAGGAAAAGCTATTGCATTACAAGTGCCCTAATTACTCACAGTTACCAACCGCACTAAACCCACCCTTGTTGTTTCTGGAGGTAAACAAGGATCACACTGTTTTCATGCTGCTGCTCCAGGTAACACAGGAGACCGAGTTATGATCTTGCTCTGCTGGACTGTCCTTGTTTCAAGAGATGCTGAAGGAGGAAGACTTTGTATTCCCATAGAGGCAGAAATCAAACAGCAAGACTGGCAGCTATCCCAGTGTGGTTTACTAGACACAACAGCCCCAAGCAGTAGCATATGGCATCCACATCTTAGTGGCTCTCTCTCCTACACTATAGCTCACACCTTGAATCCTGGGTTCTGTTTGGGCCCCTTGCTCCCAGAAGGACATTGAGGGGCTGGAGCAGGGCCAGAGAAGGGCAACAAGGCTGCTTGGGAAGGGTCTAGAGCCCAGGTGTGGTGAGGAGCAGCTGAGGGACCTGGGGGTGTTGAGCCTGGAGCAAAGGAGGCTCAGGGGAGACCTTCTGGCTCTCCACAGCTCCCTGACAGGAGGCTGGAGCCAGCTGGGGGTGGGGGTACTCTCGCAAGGAAGCAAGCAACAGGACAAGAGAAAACAGCCTCAAGTTGTACCAGGAGAGGTTTAGGTTGCACCTGAGGACCAATTTCCTGGCTACTAAGCAACCACTTCTGCAAGAAAGGCTCCTTCCCGACGCTGTGCGGCACGGGTGGAGGAGTGCAATTGTGTATTTCAAAATAACTGGGAGCTGCACTACTGCTGAGGCCGCACAATAGACATATGGGGTGTGGAAAAAAAAAGTACTGTAAATCCTTTTATTAAATGGAGTATCAGTAATTTGAATAAAACAAGCTGTCAAAAGCTCTTGTTTTTCAATCTGATTCTGCACTCTCTAAGCTGTTAAAAGTATAGTAACTTCTGCACAAAGGCTAAAAATAGTTTTAAAAGATTACACTGGACAACTGCATCAAAAGGTCTCTGTAGTAAAATTCTCAGGGTTTAAGTTTTACACTCTACATTTCCATCAGTGTCAAATCCTCTTGGAAAACAATGTCTCAGATTACAATATATTTCATCACAACACTCCATCTGAGCAACCACATCATCAGAACAGATAACTCTGTAAGGATGACAAAGAAAAAAACCACTAACCGGATTTGGTGGCCCTCCTCACCTCACCAAGAGATAAAAGCGCTCTTTAAAAAGGTATTTCAGGTTGGAATATAATCCTGGAAGGAAAAAACGGGGATGAAGGCAGTAGAGAAGCCTCCACATCTGAATTAATAAAAACTTTGCATTACAAAGGACTGGCAGCGCTATTAAAAACTCCACACAAGAGTCTCAGGTTAACGTTTTGCATTTTCAGGCGTTCAGAAACAGCAAAGGCGACACATCAAAGAGCATCAGGAAGTTGAAGTGATGCTTCCAGCTACTGCACATCTGCCAGAGGGATGGCTCCGATTAAAATATCTAGCCAGAAGCTGCAAAAAGAGCTGAAATCTGCTATTACCAAGCAGACATGTTTAGAGCAAAAAAAATTCAGCCGTTTGGGGTTTTTTTAAAAAAAATATTATACTACAGAGTAATGCTCCCTGCAACACAACAGAAGCCTTGAAACCCAAGTACTCCTGCTTTTTGGCAATTGCCAGTGATTTCCATAACAGTTCAAAGCCAAACAGAAAATGACACTATACAGATTTCAGAGCTTACATAAGAGGCTTTCGAACCCAAGAGTTTCCTTACTTGGTCCTCTCCAAGCACAGCACTTGCTGCTTTGTTAATACCACAGTTCTAGGGAAAGGAGCATTGCAAGAACAAATATGTATCAAAATACAAACAAGACCAAGCCAAGAGATCAAGGTTTTGTTCAAGCGATTATACTCTGTTTAAAACTGAAAACCTCTCCTTATTTGTAATTTACAGCTGTCTTATTTCCAAACTATAGGAAGCACTGGTTGCAAGAATTATTTTCAGCTTACAAGTGTCAGCCCTGTACAGAACTGCAGAGCAAAACTGCAGCTCCCAAAGGTCAGGGCTCCTGGGAAGCTGGAGGAAGGAGGCAATAATCCACAGATCATACAGACCCATGGGAAGTAGCAGAAGAGTCCAAATCTTAAGTGAATCCTTAATGTCAAACAGGATAGGAACAAGAACCTTCAAGTGATTATGAGGAGATAATTCTGATGAGGTTTTGATACTATAAATTTTCTTTCTGTTGACAGCTGTATGAATTTCATTCTAGTCATAAATGAGTTATTCTGTTGCACAGTGACTTTTCCTCCTTAAATGGTATTTAAGGGGGAGGGTTGCTCAGGTTTTGGGTACTTTTAAAGCTAATTGCTATCGTGCATAAAAAAAAAAAAACAAAACACCAAGGAAAACCCATTGTTAAAGATCCCTCTCAAGTCTTACAAGCCTTTGTCGCATACCAGAACACAAGAAAAATAATGCACAACGGTCCAGAAGGTGTTTCAAACCTATTTTCTTCACTTTTGTTAATAATTGATAGGACAGGACAAAGAACAAGTGGTAATAATATTATATCACTTCTGAAGAGATGTTTGTTTATTGAAGACAATCTCATCCACCAGCTGTGAGGGTAGCAGTGAAGAAAGCAATGGACGAATGCTCCAAAACTAAAGGAACCAATGAACCTCCACAGACAATCCTGCCAAATCCAGGCTGCTGGCTTCACATTGCAAACTCTGTTAGAATTTGTATCGTAGTGAAGAACCACTAAATCCAGATTAAGACAAAAAATGCATTTTGAAAACAGATGCACTTGAACTGGGAAGAAGAAAGAAGGTAAGAGCTACTCCAAAGGACAGCCCAAAATTCCCAGTAAGAGAAACACGGACAGCAGACACCCAGAGCCAGATAGCTGGAAAAGCTCCATATGAGACAAAATGTGGAGGTCAGAAGAGGAGAGTGGACAAGAAGCCTAAAGACAGAGAATTTAAATGATCATAAAAGCTTAGCTTTACTGCTCCTGAGCAACCTGCTTTCATTAAGGAGGCTTTATCAATGAAAGACACCTTTTCAGATTAATTTTTCTTCTGCCAATATTCATGAGCTACCTGTTGGCCAAAAGCAAGCGAGGCCGAGCCAAGCCCCACTCCAGCTTTGGCATATAAATGAATCCCAGTTTTACATCCTAGCAATACCCCTTTCAACTTCAGGCAGCAGCAGCACCCTGTAAAACCGTAGCTGGAGTCCCCCAGAATAGCTTAAAACCAGTACTGCAGTGACCAAAG